CTTTGCATATATGAAACAACTAAACAAGACAGCATATTATTTCAGTGTATCTTTAGTAATATTGATTCCCTTTTTTATGATATTGAATTTTTTAAATAAAAAAGAAAGCAGAGTTATTTGCAAGCGAGAAGTTGAATTCATTTTATTGCAAACTCAAAGTTTATCGATTTTAAAAGCCATTTTAAAAGGCAGTTTAGTTTTATATTAGAGAACACTAGTGACTTTAAAACGTTCTCGTTCCCAGAGCATGCCGTTCGCAGATTAGGGTTGAGCAGTGGAACAATCACAAAAAATTTCAACCAAATCCGTTGCAATCTACTCAAGATATCTTTTCTCAACCCCTGAAACAGTGCGACATGAGAAAGTCAAGAGATTGTCTCACACAATGGTGTAATATAGCAATAATGTTCTTTTTCATTGCATAAACTGCCACATCAGTCTCCTTTTTTCAATTTTTTAATTGTGTTCTTCCGTATCGCAAGTCCGTTATATTTCTGCAACTTAAGAACTTTGTTTCTGTCAATGCAAACGTCCACGTCATCCAATAGTTTTCCCATCCAGGGTTTATTTTAACGTGCAGTTCTACACAAAATGTGCAGTTCTGAGCCCATTTGTGTAGTTCTTAAAACTCAAATGTGCAGTCACCAAATTAACAAAAATATAACCTCAAAACAGTCTTCTCGTTTACTCGTTTTCCTTGTGGATGCTCCAGATGCCATAAATTATGCTCTCATTGAGCATCTAAAATCTAAATGCTTTCTGGGAGAGGGCCACCATGCAGACCCTCATGTTTTCCTCACAAATCACACAATTGAAAAGGAGGTAAAATTGAGCCGAGCGACGCTATCCAAAAGAGAGATTAGAGTGGTAGAACCTAATATTCTTTGCTGCCTAACGTTATTATATATTAAGTATTCATGATTTCCATCCAGTTACATGTTTTAAAACAGTTTTTGTGTGTGGATGGGTGGGTGGGTGCTTCGTACATCCCTAATCCCTAATATGTGCAGTTCTAAATTTTTCTTAAAATACACCCTGTTCCCATCAGCACTCCAGCAAGCTTGCCCTGAGGTGTTGACTTTAATTTTAAAAGGTGCTTCCCCATTCTTTTTTGCACATGCCAACACAGTCCAGCTTCTCAACTTTCACGTCGCCATGAAAGTCCTTCGCAAGACTAACCGCCTTACTATCACCATCACTCACCATCCACTTGTATACCTCATGTTATGAGTTTCTATTGATCTTCCCCACAAGACAATTCCTATTTATTACATCTAGACATTAGTGTATTCTTCTGGAGTCATAAAGTCGGTTTCTCTCGCTATTTTGGACTTAAAAAACTTCAGAGAATAAACCTATGCCCGATTTGGTCTGCTTTCGCGAATGCGGTCTTGCTTGACAGTTGAGGCATCTAAGTGTGTTTACAATTCAGTGGTGTAACCTATTTTTGACTACACTGATGCTGTATAGTCCGAGCTTCCTGCTGGGTGTTCTCAAAGCCTCCAAAAACTGCAAAACCGTGCAGCACGAATAATACTACAAGTAGAAAGCTCCAGAAATATGCTTGACATTTTAAATTGGGTAGACCTATCTACTCGTTGAGGCATTTAAATGTGTTTACAATTCAGTGGTGTAACCTATTTTTGACTACACTGATACTGTATGGACTGGTCCGAGATGCCTGCTGGGTGTTCTCAAAGCCTACAGAGAAAGCTCCAGAAATACGTGTGACATTTTAAATTGGGTAGACTTGTCTACAAATTGTGTGTTTTATTATTTAAATGTTTGAACAATTTAGTCCCAGAATTTTTAAGTGGATATTTTGTAAGGAATTCAAACATTCATTATCCCCGAGCCGAAGGCGCGAAGCGCCGTGCGAGGGTACTAATTCCCCCCGGCTATTTACACCCGGGGAAACGAAAGCATTAGCGGAGTCTAAAGTTCATCAAATATCACGGGCGTGGGTCACCAACGGTGTTGGGTGGGTGGTCATCCTCATTGATCTCAAAAATATGGCGGACTTTCACGAATAGCGGACACTGATTGGTCCAATTTAAAGTTTGCATTATAACGACTGCATGAGGACAGCGAAATAGCAAACATTTCTTGAGTTGATTTGATGATTGATAAATTTCTTGCAAATATATTTCATTTTTGCTCGCATTTTTGCAAGATTTTGTAAATTTCAAAAGCTCTCTGAGAAAGGAACTGCGAAAGAATCGGCTAAAAGAAGGGAGCCGACGTTAACGAAGGTAAGTTTGTTTTAAATATTGATTTTATAATGGTTTAAAAACCCGACGGCCTTTGCGTATATGAAACAACTAAACAAGACAGCATATAACTTCAGTGTATCTTTAATATTGATTCCCTTTTTTATGATATTAATATTGAATTTTTATAATTGCGAAGCGTTTGTGGTTGAATTTTACCTTAAATTGAGGCTTATATTACGTATAATAACATACCTAACATATATATGTTGGGAAATTAATAATTTTGTGATTAAAAGTGATATTTATAGGCGATTTTTCATTTGTAAGAATATTCTTAAAAAATTATCGTGTTACCATGACAACTTAGATACGTCATGTACGGAAAATACAATGGTTTTGTCAGCAAGGCGAGGGTTTCTGCATGCATGTATTTTCTAGTTATATTACTAGAAGGAAAGATGATTTGCACTTACCTAAACCAAATCTTAGTCTGGGCAAGAGATCTTTTATATATTCTGCATCACTGCTTTATAACAATCTTCCAGATGGAATTAAAAAGGCAGTGTCCTTGTCTAATTTCAAGAGCCTTATACAAAGACAGAGTTTTAAATAATTAATACTCATTGTGTGTTTGAAATAAAACAGATTTTAGCATTAGTACAATTAGTTAGGTATTACAGTTATAACATTTGTTACGTTCACCGTAACAAGAAAGACTTAAAACCTTAAAAACAGAAGAGTCTTATATTTTTATATTATTTATTAATAAAAGAAAACTAAAAGAACGAAGAATCAGGATAGTTTAAACTTATCTGTCTATTGACAATGACACAGCTTTGCTTTTCAGACTTTGCCCTTTCACACTTTATAATATACTGTAGTTCCTTTCCTTTAAGTCTTCACGACGACAATAACTTCACAATATCAAACTCTTCTTCTTTAACAACAACGACAATTATCTCTAAACTTTGAATTCTAAACTATCTTAAGCTTTCGCTGCTTATATACTGTCCGATAGATATTAATAAAACATTACGTCATACTATTTTCAGATAATTACATAAGACGATAAATATAGCAAAACATGAGTTAGCATAATTACGCAATGTCTTAAATTAAGAATGTTTATGACGTGACTGGCTTCACGTCACACATTGTATTATATACTTACATACTATATAATATATAATTATTATATCTTCTTATTGCTGTAAATATATATATTTAGATACGCAGTGCCTACCCTGCTAAAACAAAGTTATCTTATCTTGATGTTTGTGATGTTACTCCGAGTGTGCATCCACACCGGGCAAGATGAAAAGTTTGCTTGGCCACGGTCAGTGCCGTAGCAAGCGCGATAATTGGGGGGAGGGGCTAATATTCATATATTCGTGTTTTGCGTTATTAATTTCTTTTGAAATCGATTGTTTTTATGGTCTGTGAACACGAATATATGAATATCAGCCCCCCCCCCCAAATTATGGAGCTTGCTACTGCACTGGCCAATGTGGCCAGGCTGAAACGTTTCTTCTTCGGCAACCTTTGGTTTCTATACGGCACATTTCTGGCAAACCTTAGACAGTCCGTGGTAGTCCAAAACGTCCCAGTTTCAACAGAAATGACAAACACCACACCAGTTAAGGAGGTAAAGCCTGTCTTAACCCATGTCAGCAAAGATGACTGTGCTATATTATTGATTGATTGATTGATTGACGTTTATTTAACCACGAAATCTATTTCACAACTAAAAAAGATACGCGCTCTTCCATTAAGATGTGTAATTCACAATATGTAAACCAATTATACGGTGTTAAAAAACCTTATCGATAATAGCTACAAAAATATATAAAATTACTAAAAGACTATTAGAAAAATAGTTAGAAATGAGAGACTTTATATGCTATTGCTGTTACAGTTACACTCTCGTTGACAGACGGATCGAACTTGTCAAGGAAATCTTGTTGACCGAATATACGAGAAGATAAACTTCTCAAGGAAAACTTGCTTGTCTGTATACGGACCTTAACATCGCCGTAATGGTAGCGTAGCGGTAATGAATTCAGATTTAAACCTCTCTGATATTTTCGTTATCGACTGTAACTAGCGGCTCTTCTGTTTTGTGTTTTGGTTTGAGTTTTTTGTTATAGACTATAAGTAAAATGATGCCTACAAAAAAGCCTATGGTAAACGATGCCCAGGCAATTGGTGTCAGTATACTCATGTGTGTCTCGTCATCAGGTGATTCAACAGCCATTCCAACCATGAGAAAGTTCTCTAAGGATTTTACGCAAAACATGAAACAATGAACAGCGAATGAACCGAAACCAAACGATTCGAGAACAGCTTCTGACACAAAAAACGTAAGCGGAAAGCTTTCGAGAAGTTTAGAGCATCTGTCAAATAACGAAAAGTCACAAAAAAGCATATTTCCACAGCACCTCTGGATACAGGCTACAACTGTTAATAGAACACACGATATTAACCAAAGAAAAGGCAGAAGATAGAAAACAACAACTTTAAATTCGTACGCGAAGATTACAATCGCAAATAGACGGGACATTAAAACAATCAATTGATTAATAAAATATACAATGGTTGGCAGCAATTTGAAATGATAGCCTTCTTTGGTTATTCTTGCTTTCTCAAGAGTGGTGATATTCCATGCTAAGGAAAGCAAGGAAAACACGGCTGAGAGGACGGTAGTCCATGGGAACTTCCACTGACGTAACATGATGTAAACCTTTAGACACCATTGAGGAGTGGACTCCATAAGTGACTCTACATAATGTATCCACGCAAAGTCGTATGTTGACTTGTTGGACGTAATGATTATCTCTCTGTACTGTTTGCAATCCGTGCAATTGCATTCCGTGTAGTTTTCTCTGCAAGGATGGTTATCCCGATACTTATTCTTCCAGTTGATGAACTCTCTACCAAAACTCACAAATATTGACGAACATAAGAACATTGAATAGCAGCTGGCATCTGCACAAGTTTTTTCAAGTGTAGCTTGATAGGTAGCCATACCATTGATAATAATATATGGAACGATAATCAAAAATAATGTCAATCCAAACCAATGATATTCTTCTTTATGCTTGTAGTGGACAGCCACAACAATATCTGTGACAAGGTCAGATACGAACAACACCAGTCCTGTGATCAGCATGAATAACTCTTTCTTTCCTCTCATGTTGATCTGTCAATTGAAAATATGAAACATGAAACTGTGTTACTATTAGATCTTCAGAACGCGGGAGAAACTAGTGTAGCAGATGATGGTCATTTTGAGAAATGTTAACATTACTTCGCCAATGAACTCGTATAAGATGAGTCGTTTTTTAAGCCATTGAAAGCACTTGTATAGTCGTGTCGTTTTATCACATATAAAACACTCCGCTACGCGTCCTGTTTTATATGTGATAAAACACTCCTATTATACGCGTGCTTTAAAGAGTATATATATATATATATATATATATATATATATATATATATATATAAAGATAAAATAAACCTAATTTACTTCATAAGATTTATTCACATTTATTTATTCATATTTGGTATATATATACATATATATATATATATATATATATATATATATATATATATATATATATATATATATATATATATATATATATATATATATATTTATATATATATATATATATATATACATATATATATATATATATATATATATATAAATTATATACGATCTATATGTACTATAACCTCGTACCCAGGGCTAGCCGCGAATTGAAGGCGGCGGCGTAGCCCTGGCAAACGCTGGTCACGTGACTCAAACATTACGTAATTGTTACTTTTCTGATCCGGGGGGTAAATTATAGAGGTAAAACTCGACGACCAACAGTTTTTAGTTTTTTAGTACGAAATTCTTCAATCTTCCCTGTGAATTTTGCATTTCAAACTTTTCTCAAAGTACGGCGATCGATCAAATGG